TATCCAGGGGTGGCCTGGCAGCCACTTCAGCATAGGAAGGTCGAGTGCCTTTGATCTGAGGAAAGCCAGATGGCCTACCTTGGTAGAAAGGACTAACACATAAGGAGTAAGCAGGATGGCACTGCTTAGCATAGATAAGGCTTGGAATGTATAGATAAGGCCTGAATTGTGAGGGAAGGTATTGTGTGGGAGGATGCTCCCACAGAAACTTGCAGAGAAGACAAGACCCTGGTGCAGGCCCCAGGAAAGAATGCCAAGAGGTGAAAAGTGCACAGCGAGGAAGACATCCGGCCTTCATCCCAAAGACCCCTGCCCACGACCACCGGAAGATACTGCGCAAGTGCAACAAGGAGGAGCTCGGGGGGCAACTATGCTAATAATTAATTGTAATAACCCCTCCCTATCCTCGGACACCTAATGTATATGCAGCAGTATAGATGAATATGTATTACTTTGTGGCATATAATGACCTTGCCAATAGTCCTAGGGTGTGCACGCTTGTGGAGGAGCGATCCCCCGTGCACCCAGCGCTGAATAAACATACCTTCTTTATAACCTTATTGGTTCTAAAGTCGTTATTCCGCACGTCACCTTGTCTGGCTGCAGAAGGCTTGGGAACATATCCAGAATCAGATACATCCTCATATTCCTTGCTGTAATCTACCAATTCTTTGGCCAAATCAGACCACATAAATCCTTGCAGATCTCCCTTTTCAAGTTTATGTTTGATTTGCACGGCTACATCTTTAAATGACCAAGGGAGCCCCTTGATTAAAACCTTCATTCTTTCTGGTTTCACTCGAAGATTCATAGGACTATCTTGATCTGGTATTAAATCATGGTTATAAATAATTTGAATTACAGCAGCCTTTTGGACATTGTCCAAAAGGTGAGAATAACACCCCCCCCCCCCTCAGGGTTCTCGGCTCTCCTCTGCAAACGGGATCACTCGAGCCAACACAAAAAGCTGCTCGCTGAGTTAGGGACCAGGGATGCCCCTTATCTCCAGTCGTTAGAATAACTCCGGGTCCCCGGAACCCTCCAGCTTCTTGTTCACTTAACATGATCTTGTCTCCTCCTGTGAGGGACACTCTCATCACATATTCAGTTTCCATCTTGGATGGGAGCCTGCTGTATTGTTTTCTAATCTTTCCCAATTCTAGTGGTGTATAAGATACTTCATTAGTTACCACATCTCTTTTCCTACCAGTATCTTCATCACGAGAAAAAGAAGAAAAGAAGTTCTAACAACTGGGCACAGGTGCTTGTGCTCTTCTTCCTCCTCCTCCTCCTCAGAACTAGTATAGTGAGAAGATGAACAAGTTAAGGCTCTTTCCACAGTTGCGGAGAGTAGGTAGAATTTTTTCTCCAATTTGCTAATCCTTTGAGTGCCATATGTTAGAAAGTTATTGACTACCTTGTGCAACATCCTGGTATCTACCCTTGTTCCCTCCTCCTGCTTCATGGCTGCAGCGGGGGGAGGCTGCAGATGCAAGGGGGCTTTGCTGCTTTTGCAGCTGTGACACTGATTCCAAAATCAGGTGCTGCTTTTCTGTCCCGGAATGAACACTCACACATTTTCTATCTGATTGCTTGGAGTTTACGGGCTTGCATTTCTCTAGTGTATTAAAGTCATCTGGGATCTCAGTATCCTGACTACCAGGATCTGAGGAATGCTCATAACTTACAAATTCCCCAAATTCATCCTCTGACTGAGACAGGGTGGCACTGGTTTTCCTTTTCTTTCCCTGCTTTCTTAACCCTTCAATCTCTTGCTGTAGCTCTGCAACTTGCTGTTGTAATCCCTGCTTTACTTGCCACACAGCCATGGCCAGGACAAAGAAACTACGGGCATTCAAGAAATCAAGCCTAATCTCCTTTTTTAGCCTCTTTAGACAGAGAAGCACAGTATTCCAAAGCTGTGTGGTCATTTGCGAGGCTACTGAGGTCTCCCCTCATGTAGGCATCATAAATCAACTTGTAATGATCCCTGTTCATAACATACTCACACCTCTCAAGGTGTTCCCAAAAGGGACGCACAAATGCACATTTTTGCAATTCCTCCTCAAAATCAGGGAATGGCAAAAATAGCCCCTCCTGAACTTCAGTGCTTTCCTCACAAATCTCATTTTCTGCAACCATCACTTTCAACATCATTATTTCGACATCATTATATCAACCATCACTTTCAACATCATTATATCCCCCTTGGTAGCCATTTAATTTAATTTATTTAATTTGTTTGTTGTGGGTTTTTTTGTTTACTTCATGAATTCAGCAATTTCAGAGCATGTGGAGCTTCTAATGACCCCTGCACCCCAATCCTGGCACCAAAATGTCGCCAGCTGATACTGGGGGTTTCCCAGCTGTCAGGGGCTTCTGCGACTTTCCCCCCATGAGGAGAGGTTTGTGAATGAGCCTGAGGGTCACACGTGGCGCTGCCTCTCGCAGAGAAATGGCCATCATGGGACCGTATCTTAGGGTAGTAGTTAGAATGCACACACTCCCCCGCCCATGCTCAGAAATTGCTTCTAAGACCAATGTTTACTACACAAATTAATCGGTTTATTAAGGGCTAACACAAACTGAGGGATGATGTTCAGGAAAAATGCCAAAGTAAAAGGCTACCAGGGATATTAAATAAGTGATATATAGTGAGAAGGTGCCCTTTAGGGAGGTCATACAAACGGTCCTGTGCTTTGAAGGCGTTCTCTTCAGGAGAGGGTTGAGGAGCAAAGGGAGGAGGGAGGAAGCCCGAGGTCA